TAATTACAAATATGTAAATATTTAAATTTCCGTGTTGCTTCATTTATGTTAATGTAATTAATTATTTACAATAATTTGTAAAGGTTTACAAATGTTCGGAAATGTTCGTGAGAAGCTCTCATGTTAATATTGGCCTATCTACACCGTTTTCCCCTTACAAACTCCATTTCAAAAGCAATACAGATATTTTGATACACATTTTTCAAGTTAAAGTTGGCGTAGAGTTTTGTTTTATTTATTTAAAATTGTACACACTCAAAATCTTACAACTGGCCGAACGCTGGACTGGCTGGCGGGCGTGCCGGAAGACAAGCTGGTCGAGGCCCATGGCAGCTTCCACACAAACCACTGCATTAAGTGCAAGAAGGAATACGGCATTGCCTGGATGAAGGAGGAGATCTTCGCTGATCGGCTGCCCAAGTGCACGGCATGCAAGAAAATTGTGAAGCCGGATATTGTTTTCTTAGGAGAAGACTTGCCCGAGAAGTTCCATAAAAGTTTGGATGGAGACTTCAAGGAGTGCGGAAGGAATTGCATCCGTTTGCAGCTGTGGCGTAGTACCCTGGACCGCGCTGTGTGCGTCTCTTGATCAATCGCGATGCCGTGGGTCGTCCCAAGTTTACCACCTGGATGGATGACCAAAATGACGACTGTCTGCGGCAGCATCCGCTTGGTACTTGGTTCACAAGATCGGAAGTGATGATGTTTTCGAGCTCGAGCTGCAGCCTGCTATCTGATTTTCATCGTCTGATCAATGAGCTGTGCTGCGCCAACGCTGTTTTCATCGCTCACACTACGGTGGGATGAACTTGAATCAATACTAATTAAAATATCTCAAAATCGGATAAAGTACCTGAAGAGCCTCGACAGGCCATCGACACCATTCTAGCCGATGAGATGGGCCTCGGCAAGACCATTCAGACTGTGGCCTTTCTCTATTCGCTCTAGAAGGAGGGTCACTGCCGCTTTCCTGGGCAGCATCTATTGGGCTGTCCTGAACCTGCTGTGCTGCTGAACCATCCACAATGCCGATACTTCGAACTCGAGAGAGGAGTTCACAAGAACGGATGTGATGATGTTTTCGAGCTGGAGCTGCAGTCTGCTATCTGATGTTCATCGTCTGATCAATGAGCTGTGCTGCGCCAACGCTGTTTTCATCGCTCACACT